AAGTTCGCCAACGGTTGCAAATGATGCATGGCACGGCGTACATATTTTTGATCTGGTACGCATGCGTCACTGAGCACATTCAGCTAGGTGAGTCCAATAAAAATAGTGCGTTAAGCACCAAATGTCGAGGATTTACAGAACTATATATTTTGAGGATTTATTTAACGCTACGACTTATATTCATTAAGGACCTCCATGAAACAAAAACTTTGTAAGCCCTTATCTTTGTGGACGACAAATGATTGTGAGAAGCTATTGGTAATAAATACAAACTTTGCCGTCTAAAATCGCTCTTGCTGGGTTAGATGTGATTAGAAGTCCATTTGATAATTATATACAGAGAACTAAAGAATTCAGGTTACCCCAATAAAAACATTATACAGTTATATCACAAATTTACTTTCACAGGCAATGTTGGACAGACAGTAGCTTAGAGATCCAAACCAAGTGTTTTCTAGTTCAAATGTCTGTGAGCTATCCACTAACCTAATGAATTCAGATAGTCACTCACTTTTGGAATGAATGTGAAGCAGAATTTAATTTATAATGATATGGGTGATTCTTCTGTTAATCTTCACTATGGATTTTGACCAGTCTATCTTAATCCTATGCAGGTTACCCAAACCTTATAATTATTTCATAATTTCATAATAAATAGATAGTATGCACATTCCATTAAAAATAAACTATCGAGAATTTATTACATTAAGTAGAGCAAAGAAGTCTTCAATAATAAAAAAGCGACTAAACATAACCTATCGAATCCTGCAGTAGTGAAGGCTTACGCTTCTTTTTTCAACCTCAAACGTAACTATAAAATGTTACAGAATCCCACCTCATTTCAAGCACAAAACCTCTTAGAGAGTTCAGTTTCAGTTTGGGAAGGACAGGAGGCTCGATGGCCTATGTTAGTCCTGGCAATGGTGGTCTCTCATTTGATCCAACTTTCTTTTGAAAGAGTCGACGGATGGAGCCTCAACCACGTGCCGAGGTAGTGAATTCCACTCGTTGATGATTCGATGGGAAAGTCGATGGTCAGCTGACAAGTAATTTGTTCTCGGCTTATGAACTTTTTTGGAGTGTCCTCGTAAATTCTCTGTTTTGGAAGACAAGAAAAATGAGGGCACATCAGGTGCAAATTTGGCAGTAAGCAATTTGAAAACTGTAATCAAGTCGCCTCTAGTTCTGCGATAAGACAACGGGAAAAAGTTTAGCTTGGCCAGTCGAGATTCATACGGAAGCTTCGCTATTCCGGGAATCAGCTTAGTGGCCGTTCTCTGAACCTTTTCCAGAAGCTCACTGTCTTTTTTAAGCAGGGGCTAGCCGCTTGTATGCAGTACTCAAGTTTGGGACGTACGAACACTGTATACAAAGTCAAAAACGTCTTAGCGTCGACATGACTAAAAGCCCTACGTATTGACCATAACGTTCTAAAACTTTTGGCGGCTATTGCACGGCAGTGTGCAGTAGTCTGGACGACAGGTAGCTCAGTGTTATTCATCGTGTATGTATCTGTGCCTTGATGACCGATATGCATCACAACACACTTGGAAGTATTTATCGGCAACTGCCATGTTTGAGACCATTCAGATAACTTCTTCAGGTCATTTTGAAGTTCTAAGCTATCACTCTTACATCGTATCGTTTTCCATATCTTGACATCGTCAGCATATAGCAAGACCGATGATGATAGGAGACAAGGAAGGTCATTTACATACAAGAGGAATAGCACTGGCCCCAAAACTGTACCCTGGGGCACTCCACTAAGCACAGTTTCCCAGCTAGATAACTTTGAGTTCACCCTTACTCTTTGTTGACGCCCAACTAAGAAGTCTTTTATCCACATCAATAAATTGCCTCCAATCCCGACATTTCTTAACTTATATAACAGCCGGTTGTGCGGAACTTTATCAAAAGCTTTACTGAAATCAATGAAGGCGACGTCTACAGGTAGCTTTTGGTCCTTAAGAGCGCACCAGCTTTCACGAGCCACTAATAAGTTAGTGAGACAAGAATAACCTATTCTGAAGCCGTGCTGCTTCTCCGAGAGGATCCGGTTTTTATCGAGATACTTAAACAGCTCCTTCCGAATAATCTTTTCTAAGATTTTAACAACCACACTAGTTAGGCTAACGGGGCGGTAGTTCTCAGGTTTGTGTTTCGTACCTGTTTTGAAGACAGGACTTACTATGGCGTTTTTCCAATCTTTCGGTAAGCGACCCTGCGTAACGGATAGGTTAAAGCATGTACTTAAAGGGTTCGCAACGAAGTTAGATAATTCCTTCAGTAGCCTAGGATGTAATTCATCGGGCCCCGTGGATTTACCTATGTCAAGCTTATTTAGCAGACCAAAGACATCGAGTTCTTTAATGGTCACGCTATCCAGTGTATGTATGGGGGGATCTGTATACGCTGACGAGAAGGGCGCTTCTATGGTATATACGTTGCTAAAGTAGTTCGAGAACGCTTGAGCCTTACCAAAGTCGTCCTCCACTAATGATGAAGCAGTACTGTCTCCCCATAGAGCAGGAATATTTCCTTTTCTCCTTGTCCTTTGGTTTATATAGGAATACAAGCGTTTAGGACATTCTATGGATTCCTTAACAATTTTTTCTTCGTACAATTTTCTAGACTTACGGAGGGTCGAGGCACAAGTGTTCCGAGCCTTTCGATACTGAGATTTTGACTCATCAGTCCCCAGTAACCTAAATCTATCCCACATTTTCCTTTTCTTACGGAGAAGGATACGGACCTCCCTACTGAACCATGGTGGTGAGTTTTTCGGCCCCTTTGGTATAGTCCAAGGGATGTGAGGTGTGGTAACTTTTAAGTATGAATTTCGAAATGCGTCCCAGGCCGTTTCAATGGAGGACTCTGGGTCTATTGTCCAATCTATTAACGATGCTGAGTGCATGATGTCTGGTATGTTTGCTTTCCAGACGTTGGGTCTGGACTGGACTGACGCGTCCTCATGACTGGCAGTTATATGGAAGTCGAAAGTTAAAACTGCGTGGTCACTTTTACCTAAGGGTGGCATATGATGGAGGTTCGCAACATCATCCTCATAGTGAGTCAGTATAAGATCTAATAAGGATGATTCAGTGTCCGGATCGTACCTTGTCGCTTCTTTCACATGTTGCACTAGAGCACATGTGATAACCGCATCAACTAGTTCCTGCTCGAAAGAATTCTCCGACGATTTAGTTCGCAGATTTTCCCAGTCTACCATAGGTGCATTAAAGTCCCCTAGGATTAGACATCGACCACTTTGGGACCAAGTATTGAGACTGCTTAACAGGATCTCATTTGCCTCACAGCTTGGACTGCGATAGACCAAACCAATCAGCAGCTCTTGTCCCTTGCATTTTAAGCGAAGACTAACTAATTCACACGTCCCACTCTCATGGGATACACTATCGATAATGGCAAATGGGATAGCATTCCTAATGAATAGAGCTACTCCCCCTCCTTTGCGCTTTTGTGTTCTGTCGGCCCTTACTAACGTAAAGCCCTCGAAATCAAGTTCTATACTATCTATAGCCTGTGTCAGCCAGGTTTCTGTTACTGCGATTATATCTGGCTTTGTAGAGTCAATCTGTACACCTAGTTCCGATCGCTTATTAAGTAAGCTTCGTGCATTGGTGTAACAGATCCGAAGCCTGTTTAAGTGCCTTCGTGCTTCACCCAGAGTGGCTTCGGCATCATTCTCTGTCGAAGTCTTACAACCCGAAAATTTACAATTTTCAGGTCCTTTTCGCCAGCGTCTAACCTATGTTGTAGTTCTTTCTCGGCTTCCCGTCTTTTAACACGGTCTGCCAACGGTAGGTCCTTTCGGATAAAGACTCCTGAACCCTTTAATTTGTGTCCATTTTGTAAAATTAGGTCACGTTCGTTCGAAGAGCCGAATACTACTTTAAGCAGTCTGGAATGATTTGGTTTCGAGTCCGCTAGACTCCCTAGTCTGTACACCTTTAGCAAGGTGACCCCGGTCATATTTTGAGGCATGAGTTGATTAAGCAGCTGCCTAATCAGTACAATGTCATGCTCAAAACGAGCTTTAGGTTCAGAGCTCTCGCTCTCCTTGATTCTATGAAAAATAGCTGATCTGTCGCTATGATCAGCTTTCGATTTTTCAACTACTTTTACGGGGGCAGGTTTCCCTTTTATATCCCTACTTTTCTTCCTTACAACCTGTACCCATTCGTCAACGGTGCTGGTAGAAGCAATAACAGTTGCGTCAAACCTAGTGTTGGATTTTGGGGGGTTGTCGACGACCTGAGAGGTCGGTTATGTTTACCACTTGAAACCGATCGAGCCTTGCGATTGCGGCTTCTAGGTGTTTCCTGTTGGATCCCATCTGGGAGACGGGGAACAGAAGACCCTACTTTTCTTGAGCTTTTGTTTAAGGCAGGCCCCTTTGGAGACTGCTTTTCCTTCTTTGACGGGCGTGAGTCATCTATCATCGGACTAACCTTAGTTTCCTTCACGTTGATTTGCGTGTCAACAGATCGAGTGCTGTTTGACGCGTTCCGACTATGCTTGCTAAAACACTTCTTTGCAGCATCAACCAGTGAGATGGCCTCGGTTAACAAGCTGTTTGCATCCGAGCAGCACTGTTGACAAAGCCACACACAACCCTTCTTACTGAACCGTTTGAAAGCAGCAGGCGTTAAGTTCGTGCAAACTTCGTGGTACCAGCCTTTGCACTCGTCGCACTGCATGCCGCTTTCAACAGGATAACGACAACCCGGACGTTGGCAACTGCTTTTTTTACACTGTCCGGTCATTTAGGAGGGTTCTTTTTCAAGATGCGATGATACTCAGAAACAAAAAATAATCAATGACCAAAAATCTATTGGTAAGCAGTAATATTATATCTGTAAATGCAACTTACGATCCGTTCAAAGGCATGTGGGAAATTTCCAATTTGTGACTTTTCGATGTAGTAAAATTAGTGTTTGAATTTATGAGACATTATTTTTCAACATTATTTTTCAACATTATTTTTCAACATTGAATTTAGGAGTCTGTGATACTTTTAGCAAGTCGTTAGGCGGGTTTTTGGAAGTCCGGCATACTCACGCGGTTAGGTGTCTGTCCCGAAAGCTGATATTAGATATGGCCATCCGACCTTTACATCACCCAAGGATAATCAAGAAGCACCCAAAGAAATGGCATCGTCATCACAGTGATCTGTACAAACGACTCGGGGACAAGTGGAGGAAACCAAGAGGTATAGATAACAGAGTTCGACGGAGATTCAAGGGGCAGGTGCGTATGCCCAAAATTGGTTATGGAAGTGCTAAACGAACTCGTCATATCCACCCTGATGGCTTCAAGCACGTTTTGATCCGCAATGTTAAGGTGAGCCTCTAATCTTCTAACCCGGTTTTTAAGGAGCTGGAGGTATTACTAATGCAACATCGCACTCATGCTGCAGTTATCGCACATACTGTGGCAAGAAAAAATCGTGTCAAAATTGTTGAGCGTGCCAAACAACTTAGCATAAGAGTTGTGAACGCCAACGCTGGCTTGAGATCCACTGAAAATGAGTGATCAATAAATACAGGTTGGTATACGAAGCGTCTTCTCAGTTAATGCACGGGCGAATTAAATGATTATCATTTTGCAAGTCTTCGAAGTATTACATGTAGCGAACACTTCAACTGTGATTTCAAGCTCAGGAACTGTGTAGTTGCAGTTTGGCGCGAGTAGTAAGTTTAGAAATAATCGTAGGTCGGAATACAATCAGTATGGTTACGTAGCTGGTAGGAATCTGTTATATTTACTAAACCATCAATATCTAGAGCTGAATTCTACGTACCTTTGTCGACTTTTTTAAACAGTGTAGTACTAGCGCAGTTATCACTGGTTCGGCACAAGTTATTTCAGCAGAGTACTGGGTGATCGTTTTCGTCCAGTTATAAGTTTAAGCGAGGAATCATCGTCTCACCATTCATTTTACTATGGATTCGAGCTATAAGTTGAATGGTGGTTGGCAAATTTCCCTAATCAATAGTCATATATTTGATTATCTTTGAAGTGTTTACCAGTTGCCACACGTGAAGACTACGCTGTCGCCATAAGTTCTTGAATAGATTGCATTTGTGTCGAAACCAAATTACTCTGTAGATGAATACCGTAGCGTCAAACGAGAATGTGCTATCCATTATCAATCCTCGTTTGGCGCGAGCGTCATTGTCTTACTACTGAAGTTCTCACACGGTTCTCGCTCAGGAGGTACAGTAAGTGATCTTATGCAGTCAAGGTGAGGTAATTGTCAAATCAAACTAACCGTGAACATCTGCCTAGTAGTGATTGTTTCTTCATAAATTCTGTGAATAAAGTGATGCTTCGTTCTTGTCGTCCTTCTATTTGTACATAGTGCAAATTCTTTGTGTATTAGTTCCTTTTTCGTTGGTCGAGTGATTAGTCCTGTCCGTTGATAGTGCGTTAGATCGCGAGTAATATAATCGTTTATATGTTAAGCAAATACTACTGGCATTATCAAGATATGTAGATCTCATCAGTCAAGAAAGTGCTCTGCTACGGCTAAAGGTTGGAATAATCCCCCTCCGAATGCTCTCGTATACAGGTACTACCAGGGAAAACCTCACTGCCTTCTCGTGGTGGGGGTGTTTGCAAAATTTAGCGGATAAAAAGCATATGTTCATCCCCTCAATCGGGTTGCTGGATTTAGAGGTTCTACCTAGGGAAGTTAGAAAGCTCGACTTCCAACGCAATGGCTACAGAATTCTGAAGAAAGAAATAACATGTGGACCAGTCGTTAGTCGCCAACTACTGCATATCCTGACGTTTCTCCACTGCCATGTGGATCAGGTCTTTTAGGTCATAGGCTACGAGTGTGGGCCCTCAAGAAGACCACTTCCTTTGGTTTGGGCTATATCATAGCTAACATACAATTAAGTGATTTCTGTGGTAAATATATATTTCATGCCCCTCTGTACCAATATTCATGTGTTCAAATAAATTACAAGTATGTTGATCTTGGTTGCATGTCTAAGCTAATAAACTGCTTAGTGACGCACTAGACAGATGCGCCATGGGTCGTACTTTCCTTTGTCACTTTATGGAGATCAATAGGCCATCACGTTCTTGCCACTCGATGGGAACAGTCTAAAGTGATGAGCGCTTCTTTGATAACTGAATCTGACATTCGTCTAACTTATGTTGGTCTCAATACCGAATGTATCCTCATACGCTATCTAGTTCCATCCTGAGTAAGGCCACGGTGCTCTGACCGCATTCCACTTAGCTGTCGTTCTGAAGTCCCAGTTCCTTACGATGGTCATCCTCGAATGAAATCAATACATTAGTTGTAATCATGATTGCTGCTGCTCATTTGCATTATTGTTTCCACTTTGCGGATTTTTCACTTTCGAAAAGTATTGCTGATGTAATCTGTGCTTGTTCGGCAACGAATTTCAACAGTCAAACCCTAAGAAAGTGATAATTCAGGCTACAGCTTTATTCTTCTACCGTGTTACATCAATCCGGTTAATTGTTCCCAGTACTCGGACTGTCCTGATGAAAGTATTTGTACGTGAGGTTCATATGTACAAATAATCTTCGAGAGAACTTATGGCTATCTGTCAAGCTGTATACAGATTCATAATATATGTTTTATTCGCCACTTCGGAAGTAGAAATGATATTGGACTTGCCGATATTCTTACTAATTTCACTTTTCTATCTAGTCGGACATGAGTTTTTTTTGACCTGGTATTTTGTATGTTGTATTAGGAGCTTAGGAGTCGGATCATTTGTTTTGAGGCTCTTGTTTGTCCTTTTTTGTTTATCTCGTTTAAATTCAGTGGGCTCTCATCTCAGTAACATTCTCAATCACTATTAAGGGTTTTTCTGATGTTATTCCCATAAGTAAAATAGTCATTAAGTACCGATTTATACAAAAAAAAAAACGTAACCGTGTAGGTGACCACGGACGAAAGTTTATGTCATATTCGTCGTAGAAGTGATCTAAATATTCCGATGGCTGTAACCTTGAATACAGTTTAAATAGTCTTGATCTGTCAGCTTCGTACTATCGTTCAATAGTTTTAGGTTTTTCGTATGTTTAGCTAATAAACTTGCGTCCTGTTACGGACGTGTTAGTATTCAGGATTATGACTTCAATTTGTTATTTTATATACGTACTACAACTGGTCATAACTTTTAATCAAGATGAGTATTGGACAATTATATTTAATAGAGCATTTAATCTATGATTATAATTTGAATATATTCTCTGTATTTTCTAAAATTGATATGTCCGTAAGGTATGAGTAATCTCAAGCTAAACTGTCTTCGTCGACCCATGTGGTTTGTGGTATCATCTATAAACAGAGAAAAATGATAGGAGTATATGTGAAATAGCTATAATAGGAAAGCGACATATCTCATTAATAATTGGATAGTTATTTCATTTTCTATTTAAGTGAATCAAATTTTACATAAATCACTAACTGTGGTAAGATCAACTTGCTGGATTACACTGGTTGCTTATTTTAGAGAAAGATGATAATCGCTTTTGTAATATATAATTTGATAGAAGCGACTACCTCACAATAGATTGTAATCTAATCCATATTAGGTAAAATTCACTGCAGTTGGTATTCTCACCGCGTTTGTAGAAAAGCCCTTTGATATTATTTGTCACAAAAGACCGGCTTAACAGTACAAAAATTGTAGCAGAAATGGAAGCAAGTCTTTTTATCTTATCTCCGATAAGTCACTTCCCGTCTGGCTGGCTATAATCATACAAGTCCAGCATCATGCATCAGAAAACTGTTAGCGAAATTAGTTGCTTGTATCTTATGTGCATAAATGAAATATCCAAGTGTAATCATGTATGACAAGAATAAATGGGAGTGTTCATATTGTAGTAATGGTGAATTTAATTGTCTCAGCTTGGTTAATCTTTCTGCATTTTGGCAGTCGCAACGAACTCTGAATAATGTTTAAATGTTTAGTCAACATATATATGACTGAACAGCAGCATTTCTGATATATATATATATATATATATATATAATATATATATATATAGTAGTTTCCATCATAATAACTTCGGAGAACCAAAAGAAGTTTGGAAGCAACTTTGTAGCCGTCTAGGGCTCGTCAACATACGAAACAAAACCAACCTCAAGACGAACGTCGCAAAACTACTGAGCTATATACACATCCTCGACCACAGTCATTTCTCAGCCTAACATTTTACGCGTGACTTAGGCCCCGATGCATAGCATGTCATAGGTGTGCAATTTTGAGGAGCTCCGAACTACAAGGGAACAGATATCATTTGCTTACTTAATTTAATTGGTTCCTTAGTTGATATTCGAGTCGGTGAGACTTGTCATCAACATAATACTGTTCGAGTTGTAACTTCTCTTAGTAGATATTACCGCCAAATGAGTAAAGTAATGATATACTTCACCAGAAAAGATATCAGTCGTTGCTTTAATTTTTTCTGTTAATATTGTTCAACTGAAATGAAACAATAATCTGTCTAAGGCGGATGGCAAGAGAAAGTCCAAGTTATTTTTTGCTCCTTAATATGTTTCATTCTACACTATTACATGTTTAGAAGCAACGCTCAGAAAATTTATCAGTTATCAAACACTTGTTCGCTATGTAATTTCTCAGCAATGCTGCAATTAAATTATAGTCTTGGCGGACATCAGTCTGCTTAGGGAGTATATGTAGTTATACCAATAAGCTACGATCTGCAGATGTAAGTCGATAAGTACTCACCTCATCTGATTCCCAAGTAGCTTCCGGACGTCACATGCTTTCCATTTTATTAAGAGAGGATCTATGCTAAGTGAACAAAATGTTTCCGACAAATTAAGTTGTCATTATTTGAGATGATACAGTTAAGCACGAGGCCTAATTTGTAAACCTAGTCTCATCGATGGACCAGCGCATGGTTAAAGTAATAAGATTGGTGTCAGTTGTTCCAAAATATCCCATTGACTATGGTTTTCATATTTTTTGAAGTCGCGGGAATTCTCACTAGTTTTAGCAATGGTACTGACAAGTAACAAATGCTAGTTAATTGGTATCATCACATAATAAAATGAAAATTCTAAGAGCAATCACCATAATAAAGCTTACATTCATAATTTCATTATACTGTTTTAAGCATAATTTATCATGTAGATAACCACTGACGTGAAATGGCTTGGAAACGAGTGGGATTGTAATACTGTTTAATTCATTATATCTTTTGAAGTTTGTTGGTAATAGTAGGAAATTTACTTGCTGTGCTTCAACAAATGGTGCATTTATAGACGGTGTGTGTTGTACATCAACACAAGCCATAGATGGTATAAAACCATCAGCTGAGGCGGTAACTATGTATTTGCCTTCTGTAAGAAGTCGATAATAATATCCAAATTGATCTAAAAAAAGACGAAAAGCAAACGTAACGTTTAAACTAGTAAATGGTCTTATGATTGACATCTAATCCCTGTTTTTATGATGAAACTTATATTTTAGTAGTAAATCGTTCATACCTTACGATTAATATTTAAATGCTCAAAATCTAAATTTTGAGCTTATGCTTCATTTTGTTAATATATTTAAGAAGGGTGAATTTGGATTATTGACTTATCGGGTCTTGTTTATTTTCCTCATTAACTGCGTTATACATTTAGCAGCAAAATCCGACCCGAGGTTTCCTCGTGGCGCTACTGGGTAGTAGGAGAAACCGACCGCCGTTGCTACCTTGACGTGGTGGTCTGTTTGCGTATCGTGATGAACCAATCGAGCTATACTGGCTGGAACAATCGTTCCTCAAGCTCCTACCATGTTAGACAGGTCGGTTGAAGAGCGGTAAGACTAAAAGCAACAAACCCAAGGTCCGAGGGCGAAGAGGTGTGACGGCAGTAAGGTGTTTTCTTCAGACAACCAGCATGACAGCGATGCTGCTTTCCCACAAGGAAGGGTTGGGTTAGAAAATGACCCTGAAAATGCACACTTCCCCTTGTCCCACGGATATCCGTCTCCGGCGGTAAGGTCTCAGCAAGTACGGAGCTAACACGAAAATAACCCACAAAAAGGTCGTGTGTGACCGACCTCAAGCAGTTGTCCCTTGGGCACTGTGGTCACACTCTCAGATCACTAAGATCACCTTTAATCCAATTTCCTTTTCAGGTACCACCCTAATACTTTTAACAGCACTGAGTACCACTGTATTCATAATCAACCTCCTTCAATTCCTATTATTTCTCTTACATCGACTTTCAACTCTAAACTTTCTCTTTTGGCTTCCTCCTCAAGTGTCACCGTAGTCAACGATTCGAGTGCGCGAAACACTGTCCCAGGTCTACTGAAACCTCGCTCCTTATGTCAAATCGGTCAGCAGGCCTCCTTGGTTAAAACCCTAGAATCTCGTACCATTGATGTATGCTGTCTCATACAGGATCCTAGTGTGGTTATATTTTGTAGCTGACTAACTGAGGAGAAACCTTACTAGTTAACCTGGGCGGAGATCAGATTACTTGGGGTCTCAAACCTTAAGGCTCTCAAATCTTGTGGGTTGCTCGATGTGTATGCTGATGTCTATGAATTGAATGAGTCTCGGTTTATGTAATTGTATATGTAGGTATATGGATAGGGTTTGCAAAATGAACGTAAGATGAAATGTCTGCCCTATGTATTACAAAATCAGAGGTCTAGTCCAACAGGTTGAAGACGGCAATAAATACTAAGGGGAGGTGACTATCAACCCTCCGCGAGAGTGCTTATACTTATATGTGTCATGAAGCGCATGGGCGAAAGTCCTCGTACCTATGGTATCCATGTAATTGTCAAGAGACATTTAGTTTCACCAAATACGTCTGACGCGAGTGGTAACTTTCTATCCTTTCGAGTGGGTGTTATACCAATATGTATGATATGGAATCCATGAGCCAAAAATTAGGTGTTATTGGCATGCATGTCAGTCAGTCAGCTACAATGTAAGACCAGGCACATATATGCATTGGTCCAAGTTGCCATACCTCATTAGCACAAGATGAACAACAAATTCATAGAAGTAGTTACTTCAATGGTAGTAATATATAAAAGAAATATTGTGTATAAGGATATAGTACAGGAAGAAAGAAAAGTCTAAAGTAGTCAGTCTCACGACTTAAGGGAAGACAGAGTGTATACACCGACGCCATTGTGATCGATTCTGAGCCGTGTCACCCAGGGCTCAGTGCTACCAAAAGACTGCATTTTTTCAGCGCCTTCATCAAACAGGACTATGTCATCTTCGTATTCTAAGTCGACCAGTGGACCTCCTGATAGGAGATCAATACCCGAGATTTCAGTCGAAGAGTATGTCTATGGTGAAGTTGAATGAAAATTGAGATAGTGAACAGCCTTGCCGGACACCACTTGGGGATGCAAAAGCAGATGACAGTTCACCATAAGCTCTGACTCGACTAGCAGTATCCGAGTAAAGATAATATCCTTAAAAGTGGTCTCAATTTCCAATCGTTCCAGTTTATGTGGAAGCACAGGATTTAACTTTAATAATACAGTTTATGAAACCATTCAATTCCTATTTCTATGATCCCGATACTAAAACACAGAACTTAAAGGTAAAAAACCAATCAACACCTTATTGTTCATAGTATTCCAAGATGCAAATATATTAACTGACCTAAAAACTTGTTTGATTTACTCAAATAAAGGGCTTAATATTAGTCTGTTAGTGAGTGAAGTAATGAAAAGTTATGTCTCTATTTGACTGTAGGAAATATATAAGGAGATATCTGTTGTGATCAGAAGGCACTATTATGCCACATGCAATTATGAACACAGTGAGAATTTAACTAATATTACAGGATTGATGTACATTAACTATCTCACTCACTTGGAGAATAACATCAGTTTGGTTGGGCGATGGTTCCACACAAATGTAGAAGAATTCAGCCGCATTTAACAGTTTAAAATTTATGATACTATGGATGCTTCATCAAAGAATAGATACACTATGTAGTAATGCAACTGGGACCAATGTAGAGCTACAAGATAGGACTGCTAAACGCGACAAGAATTCTATCAGCAGTGTCTAAATATTATTCGTGTATACGAGACTTCGAGGAGAACGAGATTAAAGTTAGACACAGGTCTTGATAACATAAGTAGAATTATTAATTTTTATTGAGCACAGTGGAATGCATGGTTTATTCACTCATGTGTAGTATAACATTTGCAGCGCTGAATGATGTAAGATGAAATAAACATAAGATAGAAGCAACGAACTGCTGTCAGACGTGGATACAGCTCTAGCTATGGGGACAATAACAGTTGGTTTGACTTTTGTGCAAAAGTGTAGATCCCTTGGTTGACTTCACTAACTGCTATGTCTTATCTAAACTTTTATTTAGTGGGTTGTTTTATTTGACTGCGTTTTCGGTCATTCATAGTGTACTTATTTATTCTGTGAGAAACATTGTTAATACTAAGAACAAAAATATGCTTAAGCAGTAATCCATGTTAATATAATGGTTCAAAAGAAGTGGAATTCACCAAATAAGGAAACATCAGATTGGGCTTGTTAATCCATCTTGGAGGTGGTGCAGAATGGTAAATTAAAAAAATGTGGAAAAATTCTTACACTGTTGTCTATCAGTAAAAACCATTAAATTTAGTTTACCCCTGTTTTACTATTGTGAATAATGTAGATTTATGAGACTAAACATTATTCAGTAGAAACTGTGAACATTTAAGGTTTCAGTGATCAAACAGATAGACTTACATAATGACTTGACAACTAAGTTACTCATTCATCCAAGATATGATTTTGGAGTTGATTAAATGTACCCAAAATCAATTAAATTTGTTTTTCTATATAGTTCGGGATTGAATTAGTACCAAAATCTAACTCCCTCGTTTACTTAGACCAAATATTGATTATATTACCGTAATAACTGAGCAGTTGTCAGTTGGCAATATTATGTCTACTTAAAAAGTAACCAATATACATTCATGCAGTGTTTCCTTTCCTTTTCTCAGTAGTCTAATCGTCAAGTTCCACTATATACGATTTAGAATATATTTAGTTGTTACATTTCAACTAGATGTTAATTACATGTATCACCATCTCCTAGAATGTTCTGAAAAGTACTAAATCTATGGTGGGAACTAGTTAATTTATCTATTGCCAGTCAATAAAATTGAAAAAGCAAGATTTTTTCCACTTCTCAATTGTTTACTTTAATCACATATACTAGCAACAATACTGGATATTACATGTGTATACAGCTGAGAAAAATCAACATCGACATAGAGCATCCACTTGAGTTACAAGTTTTCATCATCACTGGAAAGTTAAACGTCACCGTGTTTAATCGACAAATGAATAAGTGTATAAACATCAAAAACGCAACTGTCATAGTTAATGGGCATAAATATAGACATATATAAAAGAAAGTTTACCTGTATTTACGTTGTGAAGTATGGGAGTGCGACTAGTTGGATCAGTTATATTTGTTACCTTGATGATTGCGTATTCTATTGGAATGTGTGTATTTTCCATATATCCATATACAGTGCCTTTAATACCTCTATGGACCTTGACATGAAATATAGAGCAACGATAAAAGCAGCAATATATTATTTTTCAAAAGGTAATTTAATTAATAATGCTAAATTCTTAATATTAATTTTCGGAGACATAGATTCTCAAGTTAATAGGACAATCATTACAGTAAAGTTTGATTTTCTACTGCTTATAAACTGTCTTCGAAATATCTAATGCCGATTCCGTAACTGATGCACTTATTTATTTGTCGCTAAAAAGGAGTAAAGCTTTGAAAGTGAATGCTGACCAGTCCAAGTTTCTACCCTAGATGTAGTCCTGTTTATGAAATCATCTAACCTTTTAAAGAGGTAGATATCGATAAATCCTGTGCTATTATTGTGGTTTGTGCTATTTATACGAACATAGATAAGTAGTACATATCGGGATTTTAAAGCAGGATTCTTACTGACAGAAGATGAATATGAGAAGAAAAGCACAAGCGGTTATAGTAACAATAAGAGTGAAACGACGATGGAACTTCTAAGAGGCAATCCAAGGAAGGTGTCCAAATGAAATATTCAATGTATTGTTTCGATGTTTAACAAATACATTGTATAGTCTTTCATAATATAATAAATCATTTTACCCTAACCAAGACTACGTCCATTATATTATCACGTTATTCCCGTATGAATCTGATTGCTGGAGACGGATTATTAAACGTGTGTATGTTCATAGATTAAAACTAACTGACCGTTTTGTCACACACGATCGTGGCACTAGTATTAATGTTTAAAGTGTCGATATTCTTTGAGTTTTAGTAGAACCACTTTTATTCCCACTGCTGGCATCGAGATAATTATTTTTTCTTCTTAGCAATTTTTAACATAGGTAATTGATAATTATGGTCAGCATAATATTCCTTGGATTCATAACTTACATCAAGTCTGCGAATTAAAACTCACTTTTTGCAGTGCATTTCAACGAATACATATGCAGTGATTTCAACACTATCACTAACTATTTTGTTGTTAAGTGCTGAGCTTGAAATGTTGAGACGGACCTAGTGGTACCCCTGATATGTGAGTCCTCAGCAGGTTCTAAAATCATGAAGTGTGTTCTAAAGGGTTCAAGTACATCATAAGTAAAAACTAGAATGTCTGCTTTTCTTAGTGCCATATTCAGTTGACGATCCACCCTCTCTGTAAAGCCTTTACGTACATCTAATTTTTTTGAGTTTATTTGGTCATTCAGGACAATGTTCGTCTTATTGTTGAGTCGCCCGTGTTTAGCTTTACGATCCCTGGTCCTTTTATTTGGTCTGGCAAAATGTCTAGTCTTGTCTACTAATTTAAAAGACATTTCAAAATGATTTTGATCTACAAGATTTATTTCACTCTAAACAAGTATAAATATACACTGTGTCTTGACAGTTGTTTTAGAAGTAACTACAAAATCTGTGCTTAGTCAAGTGAGAAATTATTATATAACTGGATAAGTATCTAAAGAAACCAATAAATGACATCAGCTAATAAACCATTAAAGACGAAGGAAAACTGTCCAGCAGTAATTCGGAAATCTTTAGGAGTACACACCGACGACTATATGGGAGATATGAACCAGAACTATTGAAAAAAGAGAAATCCCTAAACTTATTATAATTCGAACTATTTTCTGTCAACAATATCATACTTGGACGAACTCAGGAATTGTTATATTATAACGGTGTTAACTGAGTACACCAGTGAAGAACTGTACAGTCCTAAGCATGAAAACGAGACTGTATCAAGTGACAGTAAAAATCTACATTCAGACATTTAGTATATAGCAAATATGGTAAAAACGTACTTCTTTTAATTCGGTTTTTGCACCACACCTCTATACTTATGTACATGATTTACAATAGAAATAAATTGGTTGTGTTGTACAGTCGCAACTTCGTAATTGATAGTGAAAATAATAATGAATTACTAATCAGCTAATAATAATCTAATAATAACATTCAAAGTAATTATTGTAAATTAAGTAGTTGCTGACCGAAGTCAATGGAAAGTGGTTGGAAACAGACATGTAAACCAATAGATAGCAGTCAGTGGCCTCAAAATTAAGCTCTCTCTACGAGACTCGGAGGTCCTTGGTTCGGTTCCTAGTGAGGTCGTGAATATGTGCTTTTGAAGAGCTCCACACCATGGCAAAACAACTCTCCAGTGCTTCCTGGTCTTTAGTAGTTGTCTAACTTAAGTGGGTTCGCGAGCTCAGTGAAATTGTAAATACATTTAAATGTGTAACAAAAGGGTTGGTAGGTTACATAATGTTTAAGAAGAGAATCGGCGTAACATATTGGTTAAAATGTCGAATTTTAATGATAGTCACATAGAAGTAAAGAGATGAATATTATAGTTGTCCAAGAACTTAAGGAACAAAACGAAACTTAGAGAAAGGGGAGAAATAACAAGTCAGTTTGGATCCTCTATTCTATAAACCATATAGAGAGATGAGTTGTGCAAAGTTCGTTTAAACCCATAGGTTTATTTTTCGGATATGCATCCCAATCGCTTTCAAAGGATCGAAAAGAAGAATACATAAACCATGCAATGAATGTGGCGTAAACTGATAGATAGGTTAGAAAGCTTTATTCGAGCCCACAAGATGGCTTTCATCAATCAAGTGAGCTATAATGCAGCTCTAAATCGTCCGTAAATACTCATTACCTAACTAGAAGGCACAGTGCTTGGAAACATGACGATGGATTTGCCTAACTGTAATTCCTATGTAACTGGCTCTACATATCCATTTGATGATTTCCTGTACAGTTGTTGTCTAACGAACCATTCAGTCTTCTTAATAGGACATCTAAAAGGTAAATGGTATCATTTCATTCTTCCTCTAAAGTGAATATAACGGATGGATAAATAATGTCAAACATGTTATGCAAACAATCTTTTTTTCTCTACTTTTTATTACGGTAAAAGTATGATTTATGCAGTGACAGTACATTTATAACAGTGTAGAATCTTGATGAAAAGCTCATAGACAATAAATATTTCTTTTCTTCATTTGTGTACTACTGTATGACAATAAATAAGTTACTTAAAATGCATTCACACACTTGTACTAAATGAAAAATCAAATAATTTAAATCCATTTACAGCTGAGTATAAGCTTTTAAAGGATGCTAAATGAAACGGATTTACAAAGCAGTCACTATGACGTTTTTCTGCTTTTATAGACGATGTACAAGCTGATGAGTTTCAAAGTTTTCCTTTATTTTCTCTGTCTTTGTAAAAACTGAATGGCATCATCTGAAGAGGTTTGGTGATTATGGATTCAGTTGCCGCTATTCCTATTAAAATAGACTTAATACATCATGATTTACTTAAGTAGGTAGGAGGACAAAATATACGAGATCGAGAATCTTGACGATTATTATTAAATAATTAACTTCATTTAACAATAATGGGTCTGGTAGCTTAACAAGCATCACATCTGATCTCATAGAAAATTCTAGAAACAACGTTTCTCGACAATGAATCTGATTTTTTGGATGAAATCCTAGTAATTGATAGGTTAGGATATTGGCCTGTGTAACCTGAAAAGAAAGTTGATACAATAAATGGAGATTGTCGAAGTGTGAAAGTAGTTTTATGAACCACAGTTAACACACTCAGATTTAAACTCAACTCCATGTTACAAATCACACATATTTCATACCCACTGTCATACACACAAATACACAGTGATGTTTTCTACAGAATCACCTTGACCAAACAATTCACATAACATTGGCATAATCAGACATATTTGGCTTTAATTGAAGTAAATATTCTCTCTTGTTAATTTAATTCGGCTATTTACTCATCTTCTCTGAAGAAGCGGTATACATTAAGTCACGAAACATCAGGGATCCAAATTTCTACTCATTGGTATAACACAAATATATGACTATTCAGTTATTAACCTTAAACTCAATGCTCGGTTTATTCGAAATTATCAAGCCAAACCTTAGTGCCGATAGCTACAAAAATATTTGACTCAAAAAGTTTTAGCTTTCATTGAAAAATCCATTCGTTGCACAAGCTTACTTGCAAAATATAGTTGAGCAGTGACATTTTATTTTCATTCCAATATCTTGGTAATTCGGAAGCGTTGGGATACTTTTCACAACCCAATTCCAAAGTTATTTCAAAACTATTCGTGTGCAGATAATTGTAATCTTGCATTCCTGATAAAATGGAGATCATAAACAAAAAGATCGTATATGGAAAGAGAACAAATTCGATACTTAGAATGCTGATAATGTCAAAGAACGATATATATATATACACGAATTTACTTACTTAAGCTGTACATTCGTATTTATTGTTGTATGGTAAATATGTCTCTACAAGGATAGAAAGGGTCGCATCATAAAGTGATTTGAGACTTCAAATATCAAATGAGGATATCAAAGAAGGATAGGAGAATGGGACTAATTCACAGTTCAGAATTATGAAAGATGATACGCAACCTCATTTGATATTTAAAATCTCGAATCACTGCATGATGTAATCACTTCTATCTTTTCATACACATATTTACCAAACAACCATAGGTACAATTGCACAGCTTAAGTAGATGATTTCGTAGGAAAGAAACTTTTTTTACTCAGCTCTCTTTATTTTTATTCATTGGGTTATTCTGATCATCTGATAATAGTCATTTGATTTAATTCGTTTTTGTAACCATTTTGGTACATGTTCAGACACACTAATTTGTAAATCACGGGTACTGCTCCTTATGTATGTGGCCACGCACAAATATTTAAATTGGTAAACACAGTGGGATGTGATGTAATCATTTCATGCCTTTTAGGTTTTTGGTGAAGTGTAGACCTTGTTTTTTTCTCTGATAATGGCCTTTGCTGCGTAGTACGTCTCTGTAATAATTGATTCAAGCCTTTGTTTCGATAAGTGGTTATTTGACTCACCTCTAAACAGTAAGGTGATTTTGACGGGACTTTTTGGGCCAAAGATGTAACAGGTCCCACTACACTATGACCTATCCACCGATTTATGCATTTTAGAAGATAACCACTTTCCATTGTTTTGTCCAATGAACGTTGTTATTGCTAACGAAGTAAATTTACAGTATTTTAATGTAATTGTATGACTGATGCTATACATTTAAGGATTTGTATGAGAAAAAAATACCGTGACCAACTTCAGAACATTCAACGAATTGACCTTTTAACATGAAGGTTCAACGAAAAGTTAGAAAAACCATCTTATAATTTCATTTGGTTATCATGGTATTGAATAATTTAGGTACAGGAGTTGTTTGAATAAGTTAGTTTTCTATATTCAACAAACTCTATAATATTCTTTATTCATTTTGCTGAGGGAATTAAGTATATGCACTTCGAACTCCATAGGCAAACCTACGCAAAATATCAGTCACTTTTGAAATGATTTTGCCTTTCTGTATATCTATTGGTATTTTCTCTATTAGTGTGGTTGGGCTAATAATAATGATAACAGTAATAATAATATTTTCAGAAAATGATTACGAAATGTTAGACAATTGTATATCAGATTGTTATTGAGAAGATATTTGTTAAGATACATTCAGTCATATTTACTTTTATTTTCGTAAATAAATATCATTAATTACCTGTAGGTTATTTTTTTTTACAGATAAGTAAACATTTCTCTCAAGAGTAATCAATAATTCTCTACCCTGCTTCCAATATCTACATCAGTTCTTTTTTCTTTCTATATTTTAATGGCTATCCCTCAATATTGATTTGTTGGTCTGAACGAAGCTGTATCAACCAATGGTAATCCGCTTATTATCATTTTAAAATAAAGGGATTTAATGGTCTGTGAGTAGTTATAGATAGAGACTAAGCTGTAAATGAGTGGGTGTCGAAAAAAACAACTCACTCGAAAGGCTAATAGTGACACGTTGGGATGTTTCTCCACAAAGACATACTAAAAATAGATGTTCTCGATACACGTTATGAAAAGAGAACAAATAAAAACGACTGCAGATTTTTAGATTTGATTATTTTGGAGATTAAATAACAAAAAGACGTTTGGAGAACTTATTGTCTCATACACTTCACATATTAGAGTTCAATTTTCCATTATTTGAGTACCCTAGAATGAGTTTATACACGTTCTTATGTGAAGGGATACTTGTGAGAATGATCCGTTTATTAAGCTTTTTTTCCAGATAGTAAGCAGTATGATGTTTAAACTCTGATTACTGACCAAATCTTACCTATTAATTTTATTTTGTGGGGTATAGAAAAAATCATTCAAAATGTATGATGCAGTTTGATTACCAAAAAAACCAGCATCAAAAACACATAAAATCTCAAACTTTAAAGTTTCTCAATCAATAGCAAGTTCTATCTCAAGCTTAAGTAAAATCGATGTTCGATTAAGAGAATTAAATAAATAGGTCCTTCAGTTCAGTTTCGTTTTAAGTATATATTTTACTGAAACAATCAAATAAAAGGTAGGTTAAAGTGCTTTGTCTATTTTTACAAACCAATTGCTGTACTAATCAAAATGAGGGAAGATTCTATTCATCATAGTTGAGTTTCGATTGAGTAATATTTGTCAAAAAATAAATGACTAACTAATTAATATGAGTTTATAAGTATCAATACCAAGGTTGGACTTGATATTTTCAAACAAACTGAGGGTTGGGTAGAGAGTTAATGATAAACATATTTTTGTTACATTCCAATGAGGTCATAACCTGTAATTTCATAATATTTTATTTGATTCATTAATAAATATTGACTGGTGTTCTTGTCATTATAATAGTGCCATGAGTCAATTGAAGCTAGACTACCATGGGGAACCTGGAAGCAATGGACGACCGTTTCGTTCTAGTACGGGACTCCTCAGGAATGCGCATCCAAGATCCTGCCCTCGCGAGATTCGAACCCAGGACCTATCAGTCTCGCGCGCGAGCCCTTAACCATTAAACCACTGAGCCGGCACCCAACGGTGTTAATGTCTAATTTCAACCAATTCACGAAGTTGCGCCACCGACTCATGGTTTCAACTAATGAAATTACTAAAATCTCCGCAAAACCTTTTCTGATTATAATGGTGTCTATGTTTAAGTATGAAGAACAATAAATGATTTACCATATTTATTCACGAAACAACTATAGTATGGTGCATTTCATCTTATTCAGAATAATTAGTTCTGTTTATTTTCACTCAAACTTGCATACAGTTTATGGTATTTGATATTTAATTTTGAGAACAGTCAATAATTTAGTATTATTAATTCATGCGATAATAAAAAACTCGTCTCTTTCCAAATCAGTTGTATGAAAGTTGAGATCCTTCGAAAGTGTTTAGGCATCCGTCTTTGTAAAAACCAAAATTTTCTCTACTAATTGATTATTAAGACGTTAAGACAAGTTTTACTTCCATTAACTTTTCAGTACATAGACTGAAGTTAGATTTACGATTAACTTTTTACATGCTATTCGTTTTATGATTATAAGTGGCTTTTTCATCGGGATATTACGTGGGCTTATCCATTTGAATGACAAACATATATATTATGAACTCAAGTGGGAAGTCTATTTATTTCCTCGGTTTAAACATTCTCACAGTTGGTTTCTATAAATCACTTCTTTACTCCATTTACAAGGGTGGTAAATATTAAGGTATAGATGAAAGATTTTCCATCATTGAGGAGCGTTTCATGAAAAAAGAACTTTATCTTGAAGACTGAGTGTACTGAAAAGTATACGGTCTGAGAAATTAATCGGAACTTTTAGGTTTAAATTTAATGTGACAGCTGATTCCTTTCTTTTTATCAACAGATGAAATTGTTAGCCGCGGTATGCATACTTTTGTATTAAGAAAAGTTTTATGTACGTAACATACATTTTCTCAGTATTTTGGATATCAAAACATATAGCTTTGTTTAATTGCTCATCCTTGGAAAATAAATTCGATAGAATAGCACTTTCGTTGATTATTTTAAACAAGTTAGTCATTCGCTTTATTAAGAAGCATTGATGTATCAAGGATTTTATATCTATTAACTGTCTGACCTTTTGGTGTTATGACTATTTGAGAAACAAAATTCACGCAAAATTTACAATCAGCTTAGAGATATAGTCCCTTGGTTTATTTTCAGAAGTACTAATCACGTATTGAATACTGAGGTCATGTCATGTTTTAAAGGAATCACTAATTTCTATACTTTAATAATTTATTACTAAGTCGTTTAAACTTTTAGTCATATGGAATTTAATGTAGTTTAATTAATTATTCATATTTTCAGAAGGATCTTTCTTGAAACTTACACTTCTACCTAGCAACTGAGTAATATTGATTAAGTTCATCTGGTTTTCAGTGTTAGACTTTCGATTTATTATTTGAAACGGAAAAAAGAATGTTGTAAGCTCAAGTGGATGTCTTTTTTGGTACTGTTTCCCAAGTAAAGCCTCCCAGTCAAACAATTAATCTTAGAAAACATAACATCATAAAAAAACCATTCACACGCAAAAAATAAAGTGAATTATTCTTAAGCTGAATCCAGTAGTTTTAATGTAACTAGCCTACGGTTATTATATATAATATCCCAATGAGTAGAAAAATTGTATTTCCGAAGTTTCGTGCTCTAATGTAAGCCACTTTTTTATTTGCTACGAAGAAGTGGCTTACACTTGTTATTACAATGGTGTCTATGTTTAAGTGTGAAGAACAATAAATGCTTTACTATATTTATGGTACAGCATCAATTGTTCTACTATGCATATGGTAAAACATTGATTGTTCTTCATACTTAAACATTCATTAATAGATATTGACTAGTCTTCAAACTCCAAGGATGGAATGGACAACACCGGATATGAAGACATCGTTTGACAACAAAGACTGAGAGAAAAGAAAGAAAATGGTCACAGATTTGCAAACCTATGTGCCTTCAATAAGCTGGTCATAGGCGGAACCATATTCTCACATAAACGCATACACAAAGCCAGATAGATTTCACCGGATCACACTACGCAGAACCAAATCGACCATATCTGCATCAATAAAACGTTCAGAAGGACTATGGAGGACGTGAGAACCAATAGAGAAGCCGACATAGCCTCAGATCATCAACTGCTGGTCGACAAGATGAAAATAAAACTCAAGAAGCACTGGACAACGGGGCCGGCAACATCACTAAAGTTTAGTAAAACTTTTCTTCCGGATACTGACAGACTCAAATAATTCAAGATAGCCCTTGGCAATCGGTTCCAGGTAACTCAAATAGGCAATCACTTCAACATGTCATGAGGTTCTGAGCCACAACAAACATTATCACAAGGAATGGATCATTGTTGATAAACTGGATTCAAGAAAGAAGGAATAAGAAGGCAGCAAACAATATCAACCGAACGAGAACAGAGGAAGTTAAGGAACAAACTTAATACATAGAAGCAAACAATAAAATCAGGAAGAGCGTCAGAGCTGATAAGCAGAAATACATGGAAGACCTAGCAATGACAGGAAAAAGCTACAAGAGAAGAAGCGTAAAACAACTATATGACACAACGAAGAAAGTAGAAGGGAAATATAGTAAACCAGAGAAACCAGTCAAGGACAAAGAAGGCAAGCAACTCAGTGAGATTCAAGAACAGAGAAACAGATGGGTCGAACACTTTGAGGAATTCTTGAATCGACCAGCTCCACTGAATCCACCGAACATCAAAGCAGCACACAGAGACCTTCCTATAAATTTCACTCCACCAATGATCGAACAAGTCAGCATGACCATCAGACAAATCAAGAGTGGGAAAGCAGCAGGACGTAGAAGTAACTGCAAACATGCTCCACGTTCTATTCAGGAAGATTTTGGAGGAAGAGCAAGTGCCACTGACAGACTGAAAAGAAGGATACCTCACCAAGATACAAAGAAAGGAGATCTGAACACGTGCGAGAACTTCGGAGGCATCACACTACAATCGGTACCAAGAAACGTTTTCAATAGAGTGTTGCTGAACCAGATGAAAGATTCAGTAGACGTCCAGCTTCGAGATCAACAGGTCGGATTCCGTAAGGATCGGTCGTACACAGACCAAATCGCGACACTACGAATCGTCGTTGAGCAACCAATTAAATGGGACTCGTCACTACACATCAACTTCATTGACTATGAGAAAGCGTTTGACAGATATTAATGAACAGTTGTCTACGCAAGACACTCCAGATCCGTTTGCTGTATACCATCAGCAACAACCTACAATGACATAGAACAAACCAGATTCCATTTGTAAAGGAAATTAGATAGATGCCGGCGGTGGGTAAGACATACATTGCGAAAACCATAAAACTGCATCACGAAGCAGGCTCCAACTTGGAATCCTGAAGGTGAAAGGAAAAAGGAAGACCAAAAAACACATTGCATTGACAGTTGAGGTCAGATGTCAAAAGAATGATTAGCAATTCGAAAAAACTGGAAAGGATTGGCCAGAACAGAGTTCGATACAGAGTGCTGATGAGCGGCCTATGCTCCTTCGCGAGGGGTAATAGACGTATTAGGTAAGGAATAAATTTATTCCTATTAACAAAACTATTTTAATATCGTTTAATCAATACCTGTTTCGATAGTATTTATTAATAAAAAGTGAAGCATTAAAACTTTCTAAATACTTTACTGAGTAGATTGAATTCATATGTATTCGAAGTTAGTCACCAACTGTTGAAAGACATTTAAGTAAATACCGTTGGAATTATGCTCGATAATGTAAACTTCGTTTAGGACACAATAATAAATTGATTCAAACCGGTATATATGAGAGCACTATGAGAATAAGATCCAGAATCATGGAGAAAATACAATAAAACGTAAAAAAAAACATTTGTTCGAAAGAGCAAATTATTTTTTATTATGAACTAATTAACACTTATAATAAGTTGTTCTGTTCCATCAAAGCACCTTAATTTACTAAATACACTTTTCCTTTAAGTTGAAATTGTCAGTCAGGTTAATGATCAGTAGTAAATTTGTCACAGGACCTCTTGTGACCTGATGAAATTTTCATTCAGCACTCCTGCTTGTCTAGTATTAACAGAGGAAACTACCTGATTATGAAATTATTTCTCAATTTGTCTTGGTTCAGTACTCATGTATTCAGTACATAATTAATGAGGTTTTCATCATCGTAAGTCGTATCATGAACCTGACTAAGTGACGAATAAAAAAACAGTATTAAGTTTCCAATCTATGTATTAAGAGTGGTTTATGCTATTATATTACCAAACAAACAATAAGGACTACTGGGTGAAATCAGAATCAGACAGCTTTGTGATGAATTGTTGTGATTAATATCATAATATACTTAATGAATTTAAATACACCATAAAATTCTCAACATGTACAACGTAAAACAGATAAAAAAAAAAGAACATGGAGCCTAGTTTCGAAAACTTACGGATTTTAAACAAAAATTAATACTTATATTGAACTTCTTAAAGGCTATTTAAGTATTATAAGATTATAGAAAACAAATACGTATGTACTCAAGCATATTAAAATATACTTTGTCTGCTTAAGTGGTTAACTGAAAGTGGTGAAACAAATAATACTTGGAAAAGATATAATCATCTACCATTAAACTTTTATTGTCAGTATTTAGATATACTGGAGTTTCTAATTGATTTATCATAATTAATAGGCTAATTCAATGGTAATTATGAGTTTAACAACATTTGTATTCCATTTATATCATGAAAATACTCTCTCAATACAAATAGTGAACTTATGATCAACAAAAAAGTAAATAGATAGTAAGTTTGTTTCATCTGACGTATTCAGTAAAAAAGTTTGTTTTTCGTTTTTGCATTGGTTGTCTGAATCTTCCCAATGATATTTTGGGACTGAAATTAATCGGTCTTTAATTGGCATATATGCATTCTGTGCGGATTACATCCATATTACTCTAAACCTTAAGCATTATAAGCACACCATTCCAATGAAGATTTATTGACTCTTCAAAAATATGTCTCCAAATAAGTCTCAAAATCATATCAATCTTAGACCACGACACAATCTTTTGTATACGAAATTCCACACAATAATGCCATATAGGGAAGAAATACACATTTACTGTAAAAATATACAATAAGTATAGTTCACATGAATGAATACAGAGAATAAAATTGTCACAATTATCATATAGAACAAAGTTTATACTGAATTAATAGTGGAAAATAGTGGTCTCAAAATATTACAGTGAATGAAATTCGCACCTGTCACCTTAGTCGAAATTCATAATGAATGTCGTCTTTTTGTCCCACCACATCAGTAAAAATATAGATCGAAAATATCACAAATGTTTATTAATTCCCAGTCCTATTGGACATCTCACGTTTTTTAGAAACAATTTTATTTAAAGAAGAAAAAAGCATAACACATAGAGCATTTACAGAATACTGGGTTTATATAACAACCTAAAAATAAATAAAAATTCCCCTGAAATTTTTATTTTGTTACTACATACCGTTTCTTCAGTAGTTGTTAATATGCCACTAATAAAAACCCTGAAGTTCGTGGAATAATTTAAACGTGTGAACTAATAAACATAAAAATACAGTGTCTGATGGTCTATGTTGGAAAGAAGTTGGTGAAATGAACGGTTTTAGAATTTTTACACCACTATACTATTCTCCTTAATAAAGAAATTAACAAGACAGAATAAAAATATTGTAAACTAGACTCTCATTATGAAATGATGTTAGCTGATGAACGACGGAAAATATCAAATATTAGTCCTTCTCTATGGCCGCGTAACATATTCAGAATATCTGAATCAAAGAATTTGTACATTAAAAGGTTGTTTGCAATGACTACCTGTACCCCAATTTGGATTTGTACATTGTCGACGGTAGACTATTGAAGTTTTATTAGATATTTTTAGCGTTGTTTAACATTCCGATAACTGGAAAGAATTGACTATCAACATCTAAGGTTATGCGTTCTGGATCAGCTACAATATTGGGATTCATGAAATCAACTATCATTTTTTGTTATGCAAGTCTTGTTATCTTTAATAAATTTAAATATGAACACTGAAAGCAGTAATCAGCTTTGTGTAGATAGTGAGAAATGCAGTCCGGAGTATAAGGTTGTTCGAGACTACTGAAATAAATTTCTTTTTAACGAACCAAAGTGAATAATCCATTTCGGATAATTGGGGTTTCGTGCTAACTATCACAGTGCGTTATGAGCTTAAGAATGAACAGCTGTCAGTTTCCAAAAAATAACCTAATTCAGGGAAAACAATATTTTGTAGAATTTTGTTGAGAAAACTCTATTACACATGAGGATGAGTGAGATGGAAAAAAATGTGTTGTTCATAGAACAGTTTTTACACTTTGAAATATCTAAATTATTATGAAATTACTTGAAATAGCCAGTTAATTAATCTAATCTGTATAGCTGATGCTAACCGATACAAGAAAATGTAGGTTCAATTAAAGTGAAACAATAAAACACCAAAAGCATAAGGTTCATTTATAAAAGCTCGAACGTAGGGTTAATATAGAACACTTCATCACAAACTTTGAGTAGACATTTATTTAGCAAACATTTGTAGATTGATTTCTCATCACGCATGATTGCTTTCCTGAGCAAATTCTTAGACAAACAGCCAACATAAAAGCACTGAGTCATGTCTTGAACTTCACAGAATTCCACGTCTGCTAGTATTCACATTTTTGTTATCATCAGCAAATGATTTCCTTTAGAAGGAAAACTATAAAGACAGTGGGATATGGTATATGCATGTCCATCAGTGAAGACCTTTCACTTTATCTTACTTTTTAACTATTCTGAGCACCGTTCGGCTCAAAGTGCACCTACTTCAGACCAATGATTTCAAATGCGAACAAACCTAGAACAGAATTATACAAATAAAATAAATAGTTAAAATAACGAAGTCATCTTGTCAAATATATTATATTCTCACCTCCATTTAACGAATACCATCTTGCACCATTTGTAATGCCATCACTGAAATGGTTATCGGAGTCATAGCACTTTTTAATCCCTTTTTTCATTCGTGGATGATGATCAGCATAAGATTCTGCTAGCTCACTAAAATTTGGATTTTTTGAAAATTTATTAAGTGATCAATTTTTAAAGTTCAGCTTATATGTTGTCATAATACGTTATTGTCATTCAGCAATACACTGAATGCTGGTTGGTGAAAACATTAACTACTTTACATAAAATGGCTTTGTGCATAAAAGACCTTTAATTGTTGTGGCAGACCAAAGTTCAGTGATATAGATAAAGTGAAACCTATCATTTCTTTCTATGTGTTTAGATATTCCCGTTGCTGACGTCAAGGATTGAATTTCGATTAATCTATCTTCGGATATGTGCACCTCGAGTGTACGACTTCGATATTTCTATTCAGTCATAAGTATATAAATAAAGACGGGTAGTTACAAGCAGTGGATTTCAGAAAGGCCATTTCGTCCTATTTGAATATCAACAATGGGAGCTTCTAGCTGCTTAGTCCCTAGCAGGAGACGAGAGGCCTAGATTTCACTCCTAGTCACCATCTATCTTTACTTTACTGTTAAAAATTATCCTTTTCTAGCGTAAAAACTTGTATTATCCTGTATTAACAAAGAATGATACCTCAAAATGGTTTTGAATAGGAAACTATGTTTTTGAAATTAAACTGTGTACATTGGCTGGTCGTTTGACGTTACCCGTAATATTATCCAAATTCACATTGTTGACTGAATTCTACGCACCAAGAGATAAGGTACAAGTTCAGTTGAGAAAGTATGAAATCTTAACTCAAAGCTTGATATTGATGGCATTAAACTATTTGAAGCTAGGAGGTGTTTTATTTTCTCCACAGATGGACAAACCGAGTTCCTTACTTAGTACAGTTCTGAGATGGAGGATAAGATTTGTTTATCATGAATGAGGTGTCGACGGTGATGAGCTAACTGAATAAGCTAGTTTAATCATAAAGCTTTATTGCGTGGCTAGGAAACCTCATCAACCGAAACTTCAAAAAGTAATATGCTACTGAAAATTTGTTTTCGAAATATCCATGATCTCATTTTTAAAGATAAGATTCGACACAATACGTTATTTTTAAACAAGGACGGACGATAAGATACATGTTTAACTTCAATTTTGAAAATCCATGCCTAAGTAGGACGACAAGAGGCGATGTCCTAAAAAATTGATGATAGTTCATTTCAGTATTTCATACGCGATCCTAGAAAATAAATGACAGGTCTTATGTCCTCCTATATATATATATATATATATATATATATATATATATATATATATATCCAGTAAAATCCGTGATTTAACTTACACAAAAGTAGGGTTATCTGGTGTAATAGATTCGGCAGAATTCCCTGTTATTGACTTGTCAAACGGATAATTTGCAACCAAATCACCACCGTGTATATTAGCACCCAGCACAAAATTGATTTTTTCTAACCATTCCATTACCATTCTTGTCTCTACTTGCGCCTTAATCAGTTAGTTCGTTTAAATGAAAAAATAGAAACTGAAAAGCTCTCAGTAACAAAAAACTGATAAATGAAAAGATAATTGTAAATTATGATTAATTAATCACTTATTTACGCGAAATTTTACTGAATAAATGAAACTCAATATTCTCGATGATTAAAATATTCAGTTACGTATTAAGACATGATAATAAAAAAATCGTCATAATGTCAACTTTATTTGCTATTTCGAGCGTTACAACAACTGTTGAGTGTTCCTAATATTTGTATCATGCGTTGTGAAGATTGAATAGATAAATAATTAAAATCGAGTATGAATTAAAGAACATTTTCATTTACAAAAACAAACACGTCGAAGAAAGACGCCTCTAACTCTGAAATACATCGGTTTCTAATAGTGTAGGCTTTATACAACATATTTCAAATAAGAACTGATAAACTCTTGTTGTCCTTATGTTGAATGGGAAATTATGTTCAAAAAACAAGTTTCTAAGTTGGAAATCATTAGTTGTGCAAGAGCTTTTGCTTGTATTGAACTCTCAAAATCAAACACTTAAACTGTTGAAAATATTTCATAGTACTTGCCAGGACGTAAAATCAAAGTGCTTTCAAACAAACAGAAGGCATTTTTGAGACTTCAAACAAGAATGAGTGGTTCAGAAAAGAATTCTCTCTTCTCCAAATTCATTTCTGAAACAGTAGAATAGTAATTGTATATTCCTTGTATATTGATAATCTTTTATATATTTAGTAATAATAACAATTATTTTACAAACATAAGGAGGGTGAGAAAAAAGCACGAAATATAATGTTCTTATTATGGGACTTAAAATGCATTCAGGTGCTTGAATATTGATTAGGAATATTATGAAAATTAAATAAAGATTAATAACTGTAATAATGAGCTGGAGGACATTCTGAATTAAATCTTGAAGTTAATATCATAATTATTTTTTCAGCAGTATTGTATAGTTATCTGGATTCTCGGTTATATTAGTTCTAAATAATCTATATTTATACAAAATAAAGTAATGCACAGGGACACTAAAATGCTTCGTAAAATAACCAGGATGGTATCAGTTCTCAGTACCTAGTTCAACTGTAATATTCTTTTCTTACAAAGATATGTTATTATTTATAAATAAAAGTAAGTGATGGTCCTTAAATCCTCTAATTCAAAATGCTATATAAAATCTACATTTTTGGACGGAAATAATACAGGTCACACTAAATTTTAAGGTAAGCGTAGGAAAGTTTATGGGATTATGAAGACGTTTAATCAGCTGAATAACTACTAAAACTTGTGAGTACAGATTCTAATTTTTTCCGCATTTATCGGAAAACAATCTGAAATACACAGTGATTTCAAATTAGTAGACAAACCAGTTTTTTGGTCACCTAACTTCTCCCGCATGCTATGTTGATACTTAGAATCACAATGTTTAGTATAAAACAGTTGATTAAGATAACAGATCAATGACTCAAACTAATTTGTAGACGTAGATCTCTATTTTCAGTGCCCTTCTCTGAACTTTATGATACTTAGAGCTTAAAACTATAGGTCTAGCATAATTAGTTCTCATTAAGAATTTGAAACCATGATTGAATTGACTGAGTTGTGTTGAAAATGCGCTAATTGTACGTACGCCTTTAAGATGCTTGAATTTATGTGCTGAATATATTTTAATATTAATTCGCAGTGAAAGTCAAAACAGGGTCTAAGTTTCCGTAACTGTAAATATACATTTAGCTGACGCGTCCCATATGTTAGGGAACATAAAATAGACTTTCTTGTTAGATATTCTACACAAATAAATTTTAAAGCATCAATTTTACAAGTTAAACTACGGCCAAGCAGTTAATAACTTTAGACAGGCAGTTTTAAGTTTCTCACATGTAAAACCATTTGTTTGTGCTTTCTAAAAATATATTTTGGAAATAAGTTATCCCACAAAATTACCCAAGCAAATTATTATAACTAATGTTTTCTAATTAAATCAAGCACAATAGGATGAAACGGCCGTCCAGCGCTTCCAAGTTTTCCATGGTGGTAGAGCTTTAATTGACTCATGAATTGAATTATTGGATATATTAAAATCAACACACATGGTCGGCTCCCTGAATATTAGTGGTAAATCAACAAAGTACTGAACTTATATGATTAAAATAACAGGTTTGAAGAACAGTGAGTAAAAATGGGAGTGGTTTATTATTTATTTTTTCATGATGTTAAATCAGCAGAATTCAATAATTACACACATCAACACTCATTTTTGATAAAATTCATAGACGCTGTTGTTAATTTTCTATTACCGAATTCACAAAAAATTCGGACAAGAAAATTATTTCTCTAATATATGTTGTCAAAGATTGATCAAGACATTCATTTTTTGTTTCAAATATTTTAAAGAACCACGTTTAAATTTCAATCAAATATTCATTATGTTAGATGGTACATTGAATATTAACATACTGATAATCAAAAACGGCTTTTGAAATTATCTACATTACCAAAATTTCAGAATATCATTGAATATTGATGATATAAAAACAGTTGTTTAATTCCAAGCTATCTAAAACCAGATCCTGCTACAAGATATTAGTTGCAGAAAAACAATTAACATTGTACGCACCAGCTAAATCCTTCACAGAAAATTAGGTCTCTTCGTTTGTGCAAACTACTGACCACCTTGAAAATTAAACATAATATGTAGGATCTTATGGTATCCATATATTATCCAGTTTCACACAAAAGGGTCCATTCTCGCTGTTTTAATGTAATAGATTTCAAACAGTGAAAACCGGTTTAATATAACAAATCAGTGGATTCGTCGCTACAAGAACCCTAATATAGATGGTCTATTTCGCTTATCATCAAAGAGAACAAGATTAGGTTCTTTAAATCAACTTTAATTAACAATATATTTCAAGAGAAATTTAAGTTATTGCTTAAAGACTAGTTAGCCTTCTAAAATTGTAGATTAAAACACTCATATAACTGCTTTAATCCTATGCTTTGTAATGATCAAATGATAAGTAGATTTGGATAATTCTAATAACATGCAATTACTTAAGCATTGATTTTATATTTGTCGGTTCAGCGATTATTATTCATTTCCAAACGCTTTTAGCAGAACATTCTAGCTGCGAAGTTTCCTAATTAAAAGGAACCAATAGTAAATGGTTTTTAACTTCATCCACGCTTTAAAATAAGATTACTCAAGTGGCATACCTTGTTATTTGACTATTTATACGATGAAGTTGACTAATTATTATATGAGTGTAAATATTGCCAAGTGTCCTGGTAGCCAGATTTATAAACATGGAAATAGTAGTCACCTAGCAAACTAAGTCGCCAGATATCTTATTAAATTATGAATGACGCTCAATATTACACAAAGTTAGTGATTTATAAATAAGAAATTTCACTAGAAGATCTACTTATATTTGTCAAATGTAAACATGCTTTTATGGTAAGATCTTAAATTACAGTATGTGTTCCACTTAATGGTTAGGATGTGATTGAAATATCATTACTGCTCATGAAAGAAAATTTGGTGAATTTCAATTACATTCTAAAAAAGTACTGGACTTGATAATTTCTCGAGTTTGCTGATTATTTAAACATTTTTGGAGAAGCGACAAACGTTCAAATGAATAATGTGCAACGAAAAATTGACTTTCGTTGAACCACTGGCTATGATTGATGAAAGTTTAAGTAGAACATTCGTTCTTTAATGAAAATACTGGTAAGGTTAGTTATACTTTCGAGTTCATAGATTCCCCTAGCAACATGGAGGTGAAAACCTTTAAATCCAGTGTTCTGATTCGTACAGTGACCTAGAAACTAGGATATTTACAACAATATCAACAAAATTCTCGACTTTAAAATGAATTATTGGATACAATCAACTTGATCCTGTGTGAAAAACCAATACGATCCACTAAAAATTCCAAAGAACTGTAGCTCATGCAATGCCTGCAGTTTCATTTCTTGAATGACAACAAACTATCTAAAACAAACCTATTTCTAATATCACTTTGATGAATCTCAGACGGTATTCTCAAAATTATTAGGAATTGTTCGAGATTCGAAGTAGGCTTAATGTTTTTTTGGAACAGTCAAATTATAGCAACAATGAAAATAGAGTATATTATGTGAATTAACTATTAGTCAAAGAAAGTTTACAATAAGTCGTCAGGTCGAAGCGTAAGCATCAATAAATGGTAACAGTGCCTTCTGAAATAACATTTATAAGAAATTCGGAAACTTTTTTGTCTTAGATTAAAGCGATCTTCTAAAAATTGCATAATACTAGTAAACCATTTGGCTAGATCATACAATAATTTGTCGTGTTTAAGGTGGACATTAGATTTGATTGTCTAAGTGGAAACACGCGGCTCGACTTATGTTAATATTTAATACAGTCATCATGTTGTTACGCAGCACAAAGCCTTATGTAAGACCTTTGAAATATTTTTGAAATTCTGAACCCATAAGAATTTTATTTTTTACATCATTTAAGTTTACCTTCTCCACATCGATTTCATCAGGTTGTAAATGGTCCAAAGGTCCACCATTACGCAGATTGATATAAAACTTTTTTGTCAAGTCAGGAAAGTCCCTGTTGAGATCCACTTTCCTAGAATTGCATCTTCCTAATTCATGAAATTTTTTCTACATTAAAAAAATATATAATTCAATAACATTGTTACGTTAGATGCGGCGACTTCCCAACCATCCGGGTTCATTGAGGGCAAAATATGGATTCTCGTTCGGTTAAGCAGTTTGTGGACGAATGTGTTTTGTGAGATAAATTCATCACACAGGTAGACAGCCAAACGTATTAACAGCTCTCTTCCAACAACTTCATCTCCATGCATGTTGGCAATATACTTGAACTCCGGTATGCCTACGTCATTGATGACATAAATGCAAACAGTACCTTTCACAGATGTGTTGGCATACTTCCCGAAAGCTATCACAAACAGTCTGTTTAAATTCGGTGTTGTGGTGATACGACCGGTTGTTAAGTAGTAAGCATAAGAAATATCAGGGCATTTCTCGATAACTCTTTTGATTATGCGTTCAATATCTGCTTGTGAGTGATGATTTTGCCATGAAATAGAAATTGTAGAGCTTAAAACTATAGGGACAAAAAATAATCCGAAAACACAGTACATCTATGGTCTTCATAAATTTGCTGAAATGTATATTTACGAAAATGAAACCTTTAAACAAAAATCTTTACTCATTCAATATCCAATACTTCGTCACCAATTTGTATATATAATACTCAACAAATCGTAGGTTTGCGTCTAGTTATAACGTACCTTGTGTGTTGGATGAATGTTTGGAGCATTTAGTAAAATTATTTGGGAGAGAAAAAGTGAGCTGACAACCTGTCAGCACATAGAATGTACGCATGTTAATAGCCAAAGCGATTGACAAAAATCAGAGAAAATACGGGCATGAAATCAGGACAATATGATAATCAAAATCCGAATTCGACGGTATAGGGTTTCAAACGTGTTACAGATAACAGATCGATTTCTTTGGGCTCACTTCTTGTTGCTTCAGTAGGCTTCCAGGTATTTGGTTATGTCCGATAGGTGATAGTCTATCCAATCGACTGCACTAATTACAGCCAGTTTGATAGTTTTTTTGAATGTGTATATTTTATAATTCGACTGAATTTATATGTCTCAGGTCAGTGGGTTTTCTGTACATCAGAAGCTTTCACACTAGCAATCAGGAAATTGGCTAATTGCTACATGAAAAATAATAAAGCGATAACACTAATGCTTAAATAACGCGGTTGCTTCAAGATATAGATAACTAAGTTAATCGATCGGTTATGAAGACAATGTGAGAAGGTCGAGTTTAACTCGGCATTCATGTGACGGGTGAATTTATCCGCAACGCTACCACGTAAACTTAATTTATCGCACAGGATCATCTGTGCGTTCAAGCAACCACAGATTTTGTCATTTCATAATGTATTTTTAATTAAGTAACTAGATTATGTTGTTAGTTTTTCTCTGTTTTTAATTTTTATTCGCCATGTCTGACTGCGTTACACTGTAGCTTCACTGCACGCTGGGATTTTATCCCAAGTCGTAGTCAGTGTAATCACATAGTTGATTGTTTCCAGATAGAGCGTCAGTGCATAATGTTACTGAAGAAAGGTTTGTTGTACCGTAAACTATGTTTCTATGAACAACCGACTGTTGTCTTCAGTCGGAAAGCAATATATATATATATATATATATCCTTCGTCTTCTGTTAGGTAAGTTCAACTGGCCTATATTTCGTGTTTTGGTTTTATCGGCTTAATTATGTCCATTTAACTAATTTGAGCAACATGTCTGTGCAAATGAAACAATAACTATGACACTTGCTTAGTTTAGTATTCTTGGTTGTCGTATAATTCAGTTTAGTTGAAAAAATTATGGTATACCTAAGTATAGTACTTGAAGCCTGTAACGAAACAGATAAGTTTAGTAAGTAGAGCTGCCCGTTCCTAATGAGCATACCGATTCAGATCAGTCAGATTAAAAATAGGAAAAAACGTGCCTTTGATGCTGTTGCTGTCATAAATTATAAGATAACGATAAGTATGTTTGTTGTTTATTTCTAGACTGTACATCTATCACTGACCATATTTCATGATCACTGTCATTAAACAAATTTCCCCAGCCATAAAATCGGTAGCAAGATAGCTTGGCGTCTGAGCTTATAGTTGCCTGCAAAACAGCAGTATACAGTCTTAGAAAATGAGTGTTCTGTGTCTCAATTAAATGCAGCTGGCTGTGGACAAATGTTAAGAATCTTTTTGACAACTGGGCCTTTTAATTTATCAGACACTAACTCTGCTTGTATGTCTTCCTGTTAAACTAGACGCAGATGCATGGGAATACTTAAATGGGAGCAAAATAATAAAAGCATTGCAATACGGTACTAAGCCCATGTTATGCTTTGCACAAGTAATAGTAGCTGACCTTATCTAATATACATGAACTCAAGGTAAATCACAACTGCATAAATTCTTTGCTAAAAAACATATAATTTGGTTATTTATCTATTCCACATTTCTGACTAAATTCATCAACTTTTTTCATTTAGAATGCAACAGGAGTGAGTATTCACAGATCCTAAAAACTGTTTCGCCCTTGGAATTATGGCCCTATGGAACTGTTCACGAAAGACCAAACTAACAGCAAATTATAAAAAGGATGCTGGACGTCCATTTTAGTCTCACAACCACTTCCAGTATTTTTCAACTTCTTTTACTCTTTCGTTTCGAAAAAAACAACAAAAACTGCAGCTTAACATTACCAATACAACTTTTAAACGGAAACTTGGTTTAAACCTCTGTTTGATATTCGATTCTTAATGAAAGTTCTTGAATAAATTTTTGAATCTAATGCTACTTTTTTAATCTACTTATTCGTTGCAAGAAACTTGTGATAAGCGAGCCTCTCAGCACCTAGTTCATGTGTTCAAATGGTTGTGGACGGAATAGAAGCTTTCGCTTAACAGGCTTCTGCGTCTAGTAGCAGGGGGTCTCCAAAACCTCCAGGCAGGAACCTAGGTATGTTAACAATAAAAGAGGAAAAGAAATTAGTAAATCATAGTGTGATACTATCCTTAATCCCTAAGAATAGATCCAGTTGCCTCTCAAAGGACTCCTGGGAAGTCGCTTGGACTAGCTCGGCGGGCAGCGAATTCCAGCATTTGACAACTTCTAAGGAGTAAAAGTTGCGTCCACAGTCCATTCTGCTATGTTGTGTCTCTAGTTTCTGGGTTTTACCCCTTAGATTAGTGTTGGGACTAAGCTTAAGCAGGTGTTTAAGAGAATGTCCAGAAGTGTTAAGGATAGTGTAAGCCATTAGAAGGTTACCTATAAGACGTTTATACTCTAAGGGGTAGAAGCTAAGTGATTGGTGGCGCTCTTCATAAGGTGATTTGGTGCATATCTTCGTTATTTTCTTGGGAAACCTACAGATTCGGGTCCTCTCACAACTTATTCTAGCCACCATGAGTTGTCACGGCAGCTGATGGATGGACACGCGTTACACATCCTAACCGTCCCTGCGTCTAATCTCATAGCTTCTTATTCAAATGTCATATGATAGGCAAGTAATGCCTCTAACGACACTAATGGAACACGAGTAACTCAAAGGCACCCTGTATGGTACTGACGATGACACAGGTATTCAGTGTTTGACAGTGCTTCTACCAGTGACACCTTGTAATTTAATTCGTTCCCACCCAGAGAAATGAAACGACAGAGTCGAGAAGATCGGAAGTGTATTTGGCGATAACCAATATATCGGAATTCTCTGATCTAATCTGGCTAGCGATTGCAGTAGCGGTTGAGCACGGCGTTATCACACGTGATCTGGTACGGATGCATGACCGAGCGCCTTCATCTAGATGAGTCCACTAAAACATATGGTCAGCATCCAACATCGAAAACTTACAGAGCTATTTATTTTGGGGATTTATTTATCGCTACAGATCACTCCCCCCTAGAGGGGCAGTGACGACCCTAAGACGTGGCCAGCCAGAAGTTTAAACCCAACGAGTCTGTCGTTGGTAAACACTCTTCTGATAGCTTACTAAGTTTAGCAGCGTCTGGTCGTCTTTTCTTACTATATGGGACAGAGGTACAACATTGTAAAAAAAGAAAAAGTACAATGAAAATTTCGGCTCCTCGTAAACTTCGTCGTTCCTTTCCAGCCGTCCTGGAAAAGAAAGGAGAAACTGTAAGTTTACGTCGAAATACTTTCGTATGTGCGTAAAAACAATGTAGGCGAAAAAATGGAAAATAAACTCATGTACATGTTATATCGTTAAAAAAGGATTTTTATGTTTTTTTTAAAATAGAAATATAAATATATAGGCATATTAAAATTGTTTTTTTTAAATATATTATATATTGTAAAAAGAAAGATCGGGATAATATTAAATGTCGAGTAGTGCCTTACGTGCAATAGTCGTTTAAATGTTCTGGAAATCTAACTCTTCTTCCAGAACGCGTCGTTTTAAGTTTATTTTCAGATACATTCGGAGTATCATCGCTAGTGTTGGTTGTCGGTTGAGGAATTATGAGTTTAGGAGTCGTGTTTTGCGATTGTACCGAAGGAAAATCGACGTAGATAGGATTTCCTTCTAAATACGCTGCTTTTAAGCGATCGATGCTGATGCTATCGTTGGTTCCGTTCTTATCGACTATATAGTACTTAGATTCACGTTGAAGAACTTTGAAAGGTCCTTCGTATGCTGATTCGAATGGTCGTCGATGCGAGTCTCGACGAATGAAAACGTGTGTACTATATCGTAAGTCAGGTTGAACGAAAACATCAGTTGATTGAGGTCGAGTGGAAGCAGGTTTAACTGAACGCATTGCGTTTGTAAGCCTGTTCGTGTAGGAGGTTAGATCCATGTTCATTGAAGAGGACGAAGGATCCACGAATTCTCCTGGAAGTCGAAGTGTCGTTCCATAAACGAGTTGAGCCGCAGTGTATCCAATGTCAGCTTTCACTGCATTGCGGATACCTAGTAAGACGAGTGGAAGAGCGTCGGTCCACTGTGAAACGTTTGCAGCTGATAGTGAAGCTTTCAGTTGTCGGTGAAAACGTTCTACCAACCCGTTTGCTTGTGGGTGGTAGGCGGTCGTTCGGAAGCGAGTGATTCCTAAAAGTGTGGTCAGACGACGGAAAAGATCAGATTCAAACTGACGTCCGCGGTCTGTAGTGATGGTTGAAGGGCAGCCGAAGTTTGCTACCCATCGTTCGACGAAGGTGCGGGCCACTGTTTCAGCAGTGATGTCCTTGATAGGTACTGCTTCTGGCCATCGAGTGAAACGGTCTACGCAGGTTAAGAGGTAAGAGTATCCATTTGAATCTGGTAAAGGTCCTACCAAATCCAGATGAACATGGTCGAAACGAGCATCGGGAGTTTTAAACGAGCCTAAGGGACATTTATTGTGTCTGATAACCTTAGATTTTTGGCAGCTTACACAGGAGCGTGCCCACTCCCTCACGTCTTTATTCATGCCAGGCCAGCAAAACCGTTCTGCTATAAGCTTGATGGTTGCACGAACACCTGGATGAGAAAGTTTGTGCAATGTATTGAAGACATTGCGTCGATAATGTTTCGGCACGATTGGGCGATCCCTACCTGTAGATGTGTCACAAAGTAAGGTTTCCTTAC